CGCGTTGCAGTTGTGTACCATTGTTACCCCGGCCACGCTTCCAGCATGTCACTTCGAAAAGCTTCATCCGGAGAAGGGGATCTCAAAGTGATCGACATCGAAAGAATCAAAAGAATGACTTCCTTGCACCCTGCGGCTACCAGCAGGAGACCAGACTCAGAGGATCTCTCGCCGTCCATGAATCGTTCGATTGACGATGACGAGGATGACGAGGATGACGAAGACGAGGGCCGCCAAGGGTACACTATGCCTTCCACCAGACGGATGATAGATAGTACTCTCAGATCCTCACTGAAACATCTGTTGTGTTAACAGTTGAACACAGATTTCGTCGAGAAGGTGTTCAAGTTTGACGATCTGGAGTTGACCAAGTAAGGCTAGAAGTATCTTCTTGATCAGATGCATGACTTCGTGTCAGAGGTGCCAAGGCCAAAGGACAGCGTCTTGATTCATCCTCTTTCTCGATTCTTCCAGGTGACATTTCCTCTCTGCAGTCTTCACACACAAGTAATGTTATGTTCAGACATGGGAGTTTTTGTCTGGAATATTGTTGTTGTACACGACGTGGGTCACACCACTTCTGATAGCGTTCTTCTCCGAGCAAGAAGTACTTGTTCTCAGTCTTGCTGGCTCCATGATTTCTTGATGTTTTGCAAAGGGATTTTGTGCGCATGCGCCCACCCTCAAGTTTGACATGGCTGTGGATCTTTTCTTCATCACAGAGATTTTCGTGCAGTTCTCGACAGGTCTGATCGCTTCGTTCAGTCACCCATTGACGTCTAGTGATACAGGCAAGCTGTTGGGGATCGAGTACATCTTAGAGCGAGGGAGAGTAGCATTGATTTACCTCCACCATGGCTTCGTCACTGATGTAATACCAGTACCATTTGTTCACACCAGCACCATTTTTTCACATTAGCACATTTGTGTATAGCAGCACCAATTGTCCTCTCCAGCATCTGTGACCCTCATCATGATTCTTATGACGTCGTCCAGGTCTTGGCTGGTCTGCCGATATCTTTTCTCGAATATTTCCTCATCGAAGGTTTTCTTGTCTCGCTTGTTTGACTTCTCACTTCTGCCAAATCTCAAGACACACCTTGCTCGTCGCAATCAGCCGGATATTCTAACAGTGCGTACGTGCGATACCTGAGGCTTGTGCGAATGCTCAGGATGCTCCGACTGCTCAAGGTACTTGTGTCTTGTGTCTTGTGTCTTGTGTCTTGTGTCTTGTGTCTTGTGTCTTGTGTCTTGTGTCTTGTGTCTTGTGTCTTGTGTCTTGTGTCTTGTGTCTTGTGTCTTGTGTCTTGTCTTCCCCGCACTTGGCGACTGAGAAGTTTCACATCAGGTCCTCAAGATCTTCAATGTTCTCCGGGACTTCTTCTTGTGGCGCCCGACGGTGGTTCGCCTCACCAAGGCAGCCTTTTCAATCTGCATGATTGCACACATCGGGGGATGCCTGTGGTGGTTCCTGAAACTGCAGGAGCTCTCACACGAGGAGCTGGCGGCGTTCAAAGCAGAATACAATCTCGATCATCGCGTCTCCTCGCCCTACATAGTCTCAGTGTACTTCCTCATGGCAACTCTATGTAATACTTGCTGTCTCCTCCTGTCTCCTCCTCTGTCCTTCTCTCCTTGTTACCCTCCCTGCTCTCTATCTTTGTTCTAACTTAGCTCTCAGGTACTGTTGGCTACGGGGACATCTCAGCAGTGACAGATTATGTAAAGAATCGTCCTTCCCTTTCCCCTTTGCCCCTCCTCTCCTCGTTTCTTCCCTCCTCTGCCCCCGGCAGCCCTGTTCCTCGTCTCGGGTCATGAACACTGCAGGAGCGACTGTTTGCCATCGCTTTGATGTTCATCGGGGCTTCTGTCTTCGCCATCATCATCAGCAACATGTCGGGTGAGTTGCTTCCTCAGTCTCTTTATGTGTGACTGTCTGGCAGCACTCGTAAATTCCGTTTCTTCGAGGTGAAGTAGCGAGGAGGAGAGTGCAGGAAGAGATGGATGGAGAGATGGAGGGAGAGGGAGGGAGGGAGTGGGAGAGGGAGTGGAAGATTCAGGGCAGCAACGTGGCTGGACTTTTGACGTATTTAATGCTTTTACAACAGTGAGAACGAAACTTTGGATCAGATGGAAAAGGTTCTTGAGTTCATGAGGCAGAACAAACTGCCGCAAGCGTTGGAGCGTCGAGTGCAAAACTTTTACTTCTTCAAGGCATCAAGAGTTCGGTCGTCTGCACAATCGTCGCTGGTAAAGTCAAAACTTTTGACAACATGATGCAACCATTGACTGATGGGGCGAGCAGGTGCTGGCCGACTTGCCTGTGGAGCTGAGAAAGTGAGAAATGTTTGAATGCTCCAGATAAATGATAAACATGTTTGAATGCTCGAGAGGAAGATGTATGATGAGAATGATCTCCTCACAAAATTGTCTGAGATGACTTCTATCTTCGCCGTTCTTACTCTCGATCTTGATTGTTTTGCCATCAGTCAGATTGATCTAGCTCTCAATCGACACCTGTTGGGCTCCATTTGGCTGTTTGACAAGTTGGAAGATGTTGTTCTTCAAGAGATTGTTCGAATCCTTGATGTGAGAAACACTTCCTTTCCCTTCCCTCACGTCCTCGTGCTCCTCGCTTTTGTAATCGCTCTCTCCTCTCTCCTCGCTCCTCTCTCTTACCTCTTCTCTCCTCTCTCTTCTTGCTCTCTTCTCTTCTCTTCTCTTCTCCTCTCTCTTCTCTCTCTCTTCTCTCTCTTCTCTTTGGATCTCTCTCCCCTCTTCTCAACCTGACTTCTTGTGCAGGTGGAGCTGAGGCTACCGGGGGAGACTATCTACGATCTGGGAGATCAGGCGGACTGTCTCTACATCATCATTTCAGGTTCTGTCACCCTGTCTCTCCGGGAAGACCCTGCCCTCAAGCTCCGCTCTGAGATCCTCGACCAAATTCAAAAGGTCCGACATTTCCCGCTGCTGGCATTCGATTTTATTCTTGTAAGCTCTTTCTTCTCTTCTCATTCTTTCCTAGGGCGACGTCTATGGCGAAGTTGCTATCCTCATGGATACCACTAGGTCGATACTCCTCCCTTCACCTTCCCCCCTCTTCCATTCCCCTCACTTCCTCCTCTCTTCTCCGTCCTCTTTCATTGCTCCTTTCCACTTGTCTCGCTGTGGCTGAGGGAGGGGCAGGGAGTCGATGGCAGTGTCAGATGGATTTCTCGAGCAGTACGTCCTCTCCTCCTCCAACCTCGAGATCGTCCTCAACGAGCTTCCCGACGTCAACGAGCGTCTCAAGCAGCGGGCGCAGGTGCGAGCAGAGCAGCTGTTCGGGGGGATCCTGGAGCAGGAGGGGGCGCACTGGAAAAGGAAGGTCGCCCCCAACAACGCGTTCAAGTGGAGGAGGTTGTGCAGAAAGCTGATGATAAGCAAGGGAACTTCATCGAATGTCTTTTTCTCAAGGATATTCAACTTCACAATGGTAAACTCCCTCCTCCTTTACTGCTGCTCCCGTCCTCTTCATACCCTGTACTTTCCTATTCTCTCCTCGCCTTCTCCCTTCTCTCCGCCTGCCCTCTTCCTCCTCCCCTCCTTCCCCGTTTTTTTCTCCTTACCTTGCTTTTCCTCTCAATTCCTCTCTTCTCCTTTCCCCCTCCTCCCCTCCTCCCCTTCTCATCTCTCCTCTGCGCTGCTCGCTTCTCCATGCCGCGGTCCTGCACGACCCTTGCCATGCTGATCCTCTGGTCAGGCGCATTCAGACTTCAGGAGGATGACAAGGGTTCATCCGACCAGCTCGATAAGGCGACGAGGGCCAAGAGGTTCTTTGGCGTTGAGTTGCGCATTCTCCACTTTGTCATGATTGCGACCTGCTTTTCACATTCCGAGCGCTGTCGAGCGTCACTGCCAGGCAGTCCAGGGGGAGTTTCTCCTCTCTCCTTTCCCCTTAGTCCTCTGAACCTTCGAGGAGGACGAGGAGTGAGAAAGAGCACGCGCTGGCTGCTCAACTATGATGTCGGTATTCGTCCTATCAGCAAGCGCAGAATGAAGAAGATCGACGATGAAGTGTAAGTAGACTAATGGGATTCCAGCCTGTTGCTAATTGCCCTTCTCTCCTTCCTCTTCTCTTTTCTCCCTCCCTTGGGCCATTCTTTTCTCTCGCTGCCTCCCTGTCCCTCAACTCTCCCAAATCGCTCCCCTCCTCGATGTTGAGCTGATTCACCTCTAAGGGAAGAAGAGCTCATGAAGGAGGAGGAGGCAGGAAATCTCCCCAGTGAGACAGAGTTGTCCGGTGCTTCTCTGCATGCTGAGAGATGCTGCAGGTTACGCGACAAGAGTAAGGAGGGAAGTGAGGTCCATATGCAGGAGTATGCTGCTCGAGCATGGACTCTCAGCATCAGATCCAGAGTTTCAAGACACGCAAGAGGGTTCAAAAGAGGAAGAGAAAGAGGAGGAAAAGGAGGAGGAGAAAGAGGGATCAATATCTGAAGAAGTCACTCCGGAGCAGGAGGTAAGGAGGGTTGTCGAGGATGTAGCAGGGGTCACGGTGAGAGCAGGAGGACGTTCAAGAATTCGGAGACAGAGGGCCCGACGGTTTCCTCCAGCAGTTCCTCGAGCAGGTAATGGAGTGCGGAGATGCGGGAAGAGGAGAAGCCGATGACGTGTTGAGCAGCGGAAGAAGATGATGGAGAATCAAGAGGAACGGGAGGATGAAAAACCTCTGACGTTCGAGGAAGCGAAGAAACGAAAGGTACCAGAGGTTGTCATGGTGCCCCGCTGTAATGGAAATTCTTGAAGGCAGAGCAGATGATGCAAGCAGAGAGAAAGAAGAAGACAACATCTCTGCCCTTGCCTGATCTCTCCCCTTCCGATTGGATCGGATTCTTGCCAAAGCACAGGGAAGCGAATCAGACCGCTACTGCTGGATGGAAGCAAGATGCTGAAAATCTGGAAGAGGAAGAGGAGGTGGAGGATGATGAAGAAGTGGAGGGTGAAGAAAAGGTAGAGGAGGAAAACAAAGAAGAAGTAGAGGAAAACAAAGAAGAAGCAGAGAATGATAAAGAAGAGGTAGAGAATAGTAAAGAACAGTTAGAAGAAAGGGAGAAGGCGAAACCATTGAGTAGTCAACAGAAAATTGGAAAGGAGTGCAACAAGAGGAAGCTAAAGGGCGAGTTTATACAAGAAAGAGGAAAGAAGAGGATGATATGAGGGCAGATAAATCATATTCAGAGCAAAAGACGAGTAATTTTACAACGGCTAAGCAGAGACTTGTTGGAAATGAAACTGATTCAACATCTGTTTGAGGAGCCACAATCCATGATTTCGCACTTCAAAAAGGATAGTACAAATGAAGAAACGACAACTAGAACTTTTCTTAAAAGGTGCCAATTTTCTCAAGTTATAAAGTACGGTATGTCCCTCACTCCTCTCTTCAGCTGTGCCCTCAACTCCTCTATCACGTCTCCTCTCCTTGCTCTCGGTCTCTATGGTAGTCCTACAATCTCGCCAGCAGCTCCCTGCGACGAGTTCTGGGAGTCTTCCGTTAAGTTAGTCTGCCTTCCCTGGTCTTACTCCTCCGTCTCCTCCGCTTCTTCCGAGACTTCCTCCACCTTGGGCATCGATTGCTGTAAAGTTTCAGCCCCTGCCCCTCCTCTTCAAACTCCATCGCCCTACCTGAACCTTGGCCTCGCGCGAGCTTCCTCGACTTTGTAGTTCTTCTCGCTCTGACGCAAACGATTCCTGGTTGGGCTGAACAGGCTCGTCCATGTTGTCCAAGTAGTCTATCTCTCCCTCCTGCTGGCTCTGCTGCGTTTGTCCTCCTCCCTTCACCCGGACCTTCACGTGCGTGAGGAGAGCAAGAGGAGGGTCTCAAGCACCTGAAGAGGAGCAGGGGTGGCCTTTGTGAAGGATGGCTCATTGCTCCGACTTGTGTACCGCCACTTGGGCGATCCTCTTGCAGACTTGATAGCAGGCAACACCTGGACGACAAGATCAAGAGGAGAAGAGCGTCATCGACGAGGCATACAATAGGGTACTCAGCGCAGTTCTTCAGATACTCCTCATCTCTTCTCGCTTTCTCCTCCCATTCAAGATGTGAATAGTGTCTGCAGGACGATAAGAGGACACCAGCGCGAGGGTACATGAGAGATTCAACTCACGGCTCCTTGTGCTGGATTCTGCGTAAGATCTGCAGATTCTCCTCGGTAATGCGCATGAGCTCTCTCTTCCGATACTCCTTGTTCAGACTCTTGCCGTAGGTGACTGGGGGGCCCATGTACTTCTCGTCGAGAAGCTGAGGGTGCGTCATAATGTATGACATCTTGTCTAGCAGCCTGACATCCTGTCACATTCACAACAAACTTCATGCAGTGCAGTACAAGTAGTTGTCGCGCTCAATCTGACTGTAGCGTTCTTCGTCCATTTGCTGTTTCTTGAGGTTTTGGACGAGGTGGATGTACCTGTTCAAGGTCAACACGTGTTTGATTGTCGCAAGTCACTCACTTAGGTGGAGGTTTGTTGTCGACGGCCGGCTTGATCTGTTTAAGACGTTGCTTATGCAGCTTTTGACAGTGTTTGACCCATTTGTCGTCCAAGTGCTTGTTCAACTTTGGCATGGCTTTCCTATATGCATACATCCTAAAAAACTTTCCAGATTTGCTTCTGTCTAAGTGCCTAAGTTTTGCGTTCAAGCTCGATACAAATGGATCGTCCTGCTGCAAGGAACAGAATCAGTCAGACTTCTAAACTTGCTGCAAACGTAAAAGACAAGGAAAAATCGGCTGTTCACATTGTAAACTAGTCCTCTGTGTTTTCATTTCCATCTTCTGTCTTCCTCCTCGTCTCCTCTATTGTACCGATTTCACATCTTCTGTCTTCTCCTCTATTGTACCGATTTCACATCTTCTGTCTTCTCCTCTATTGCACCGAATTCACATGTTCCTTTCACACAAAGTATGCGACAATACATGCAACAGTGATGCGTGGTGAAACATCCCCCCAAGCTGCTCCCAGCCTCATTGTCCTATCCTCTCCTTTTAGCTAGCAACTGACAAAACGATTCCTTCTGTCTCCCTTCGTCTCAATTTTTTTTTTCGTTCCCTCTTTTGTGCCGGTTTCTCGTCCGTGTCTCAATCCTCTCTTCTCTCCTTCGTTCCTGACAGTTTCCTCTTGTCCCTCCCTTGTTTCTATCCGTCGCTGCACAATGTTAGACACCTTCCTTCCCTCCCTCACCTCCCAGCTCCTCTCCCTCCTCCTGCCGTCTCCTTTCTTTCCTTCACTCGCTCATTTCATTCCTATTCTCCCTCTCCCCCTCCCTCTCCCTCCCTCCCTCCCTCCCTAACAACTCGCATTGCTCAACCGCCAACGATCTTTGGTGGACCCTACCCCGTTCGTTGTACCTGACCCATGACCCCATTGAATCCAGGACCCGAACTGATATGACCCCCTACTCTCAATGTATTCAGCAAATTCACCCCACAATTGCAAGTTCAAGGCACCGGTATTTCAGTAACTTCTTGTACCCCCTACCTCTCTTAATTGTTTCGTTAACCCCTACACCCTACCTGTCGACTTGCCGTTATCAGTACCCGTACTACCTACCCAAAAACGGTTTCGTCCATAACATAGTAGTGCCATGCCGCACTGCACTGGGCCCGGCCCGGGGCCGGCGGTGAACGGCGCAGGGGCCGCCCCCCGGTGACCGTACGGTAGTACGGTGGGGCCGTGGCGGCGGGCAGGCCGCGTGCCGCCGGATCGGATCGGCCGGACAGGCCGGTCAATCGGAAGGGTCAATCGGAAGGGTCTCCTCGTGACTCTGCAACATCCGAAGATCCAGCAAAACTTGGCACTCCGAGGGCCTTGCCGGTGGCAGGCCGCAGTGGCAGCAACTTAGCGTTGGCACTGAGAAGCTTCCTGAAAACGAAGACGACCCCGGTTCGACGCACAGCGGCAGCACACCGTCACGGACGTGTTTCGAGGCGGCAATGCCAGTCACGTACGTGTGACCGTCCGGTCGTGAGTCACTCATCATGGGCCTCTCAAGTTTTCGGGGCCGGACCCGGCCCGTGCCACGTGACTGTCCGGTCACCCGACTCAGTCACTGTGAGTCGGTGTACTAGTTTTTTCACCGTTTAACTTTGAGTAAAGTGCTCAACTGTACGGTTATATCTGGTCCACGGTACGGTACAAAAAGATATCAATTAAGTAAAAGTTTACGTTACGTTGAGTCAGGTCATTTCGGCATAAGACTGTGGAATAAAAGGGGGTGGGGTGGTCCGGAAGCTCTACATTGTGGCAGGGAAAAAGGGGGTGGTCATCATGATTCTGGGGTCCATTTCAAGTGCTGATAGTAAAGAGAGGGGTGGCCCACGGATTGGCAACTTTCGAGGTACGGCCACTGAGATAGCCACACGGGTGGGGTGGTGGCTTCCGGGGGTGCACTGGGCCTCAAGTAGGGGTAGCTAGAGAGAATTTTGATGGATAGAGGACGGGTGGTGTGAATGACTTTTTCTATGGCAGCGAGAGGGAGTGGAGATCCATGGGATAGGAAGGGAAGAGGGAGGGAAGAAGGAAGGAGGAGAGAGGAAGATGAGGGGCGAACGATGAAGGAAATAGATGCGGGGTTGAGAAGAGGGCCGGAGAGAAGGGAAGTGAAGGACTGAGTGTGAGGATCATTTAGCTGTGGAATAGCGGAGATGGGAGGTGATAATTGCTCAATTTCCTACGATGAACTCGATTACAGCAGGCTGTCTTCACGCGTTGCCAGTTGTGTACCATTGTTACCCCGGAACGCTTCCAGCATGTCACTTCGAAAAGCTTCATCCGGAGAAGGGGATCTCAAAGTGATCGACATCGAAAGAATCAAAAGAATGACTTCCTTGCACCCTGCGGCTACCAGCAGGAGACCAGACTCAGAGGATCTCTCGCCGTCCATGAATCGTTCGATTGACGATGACGAGGATGACGAGGATGACGAAGACGAGGGCCGCCAAGGGTACACTATGCCTTCCACCAGACGGATGATAGATAGTACTCTCAGATCCTCACTGAAACATCTGTTGTGTTAACAGTTGAACACAGATTTCGTCGAGAAGGTGTTCAAGTTTGACGATCTGGAGTTGACCAAGTAAGGCTAGAAGTATCTTCTTGATCAGATGCATGACTTCGTGTCAGAGGTGCCAAGGCCAAGGACAGCGTCTTGATTCATCCTCTTTCTCGATTCTTCCAGGTGACATTTCCTCTCTGCAGTCTTCACACACAAGTAATGTTATGTTCAGACATGGGAGTTTTTGTCTGGAATATTGTTGTTGTACACGACGTGGGTCACACCACTTCTGATAGCGTTCTTCTCCGAGCAAGAAGTACTTGTTCTCAGTCTTGCTGGCTCCATGATTTCTTGATGTTTTGCAAAGGGATTTTGTGCGCATGCGCCCACCCTCAAGTTTGACATGGCTGTGGATCTTTTCTTCATCACAGAGATTTTCGTGCAGTTCTCGACAGGTCTGATCGCTTCGTTCAGTCACCCATTGACGTCTAGTGATACAGGCAAGCTGTTGGGGATCGAGTACATCTTAGAGCGAGGGAGAGTAGCATTGATTTACCTCCACCATGGCTTCGTCACTGATGTAATACCAGTACCATTTGTTCACACCAGCACCATTTTTTCACATTAGCACATTTGTGTATAGCAGCACCAATTGTCCTCTCCAGCATCTGTGACCCTCATCATGATTCTTATGACGTCGTCCAGGTCTTGGCTGGTCTGCCGATATCTTTTCTCGAATATTTCCTCATCGAAGGTTTTCTTGTCTCGCTTGTTTGACTTCTCACTTCTGCCAAATCTCAAGACACACCTTGCTCGTCGCAATCAGCCGGATATTCTAACAGTGCGTACGTGCGATACCTGAGGCTTGTGCGAATGCTCAGGATGCTCCGACTGCTCAAGGTACTTGTGTCTTGTGTCTTGTGTCTTGTGTCTTGTGTCTTGTGTCTTGTGTCTTGTGTCTTGTGTCTTGTGTCTTGTGTCTTGTGTCTTGTGTCTTGTGTCTTGTGTCTTGTGTCTTGTCTTCCCCGCACTTGGCGACTGAGAAGTTTCACATCAGGTCCTCAAGATCTTCAATGTTCTCCGGGACTTCTTCTTGTGGCGCCCGACGGTGGTTCGCCTCACCAAGGCAGCCTTTTCAATCTGCATGATTGCACACATCGGGGGATGCCTGTGGTGGTTCCTGAAACTGCAGGAGCTCTCACACGAGGAGCTGGCGGCGTTCAAAGCAGAATACAATCTCGATCATCGCGTCTCCTCGCCCTACATAGTCTCAGTGTACTTCCTCATGGCAACTCTATGTAATACTTGCTGTCTCCTCCTGTCTCCTCCTCTGTCCTTCTCTCCTTGTTACCCTCCCTGCTCTCTATCTTTGTTCTAACTTAGCTCTCAGGTACTGTTGGCTACGGGGACATCTCAGCAGTGACAGATTATGTAAAGAATCGTCCTTCCCTTTCCCCTTTGCCCCTCCTCTCCTCGTTTCTTCCCTCCTCTGCCCCCGGCAGCCCTGTTCCTCGTCTCGGGTCATGAACACTGCAGGAGCGACTGTTTGCCATCGCTTTGATGTTCATCGGGGCTTCTGTCTTCGCCATCATCATCAGCAACATGTCGGGTGAGTTGCTTCCTCAGTCTCTTTATGTGTGACTGTCTGGCAGCACTCGTAAATTCCGTTTCTTCGAGGTGAAGTAGCGAGGAGGAGAGTGCAGGAAGAGATGGATGGAGAGATGGAGGGAGAGGGAGGGAGGGAGTGGGAGAGGGAGTGGAAGATTCAGGGCAGCAACGTGGCTGGACTTTTGACGTATTTAATGCTTTTACAACAGTGAGAACGAAACTTTGGATCAGATGGAAAAGGTTCTTGAGTTCATGAGGCAGAACAAACTGCCGCAAGCGTTGGAGCGTCGAGTGCAAAACTTTTACTTCTTCAAGGCATCAAGAGTTCGGTCGTCTGCACAATCGTCGCTGGTAAAGTCAAAACTTTTGACAACATGATGCAACCATTGACTGATGGGGCGAGCAGGTGCTGGCCGACTTGCCTGTGGAGCTGAGAAAGTGAGAAATGTTTGAATGCTCCAGATAAATGATAAACATGTTTGAATGCTCGAGAGGAAGATGTATGATGAGAATGATCTCCTCACAAAATTGTCTGAGATGACTTCTATCTTCGCCGTTCTTACTCTCGATCTTGATTGTTTTGCCATCAGTCAGATTGATCTAGCTCTCAATCGACACCTGTTGGGCTCCATTTGGCTGTTTGACAAGTTGGAAGATGTTGTTCTTCAAGAGATTGTTCGAATCCTTGATGTGAGAAACACTTCCTTTCCCTTCCCTCACGTCCTCGTGCTCCTCGCTTTTGTAATCGCTCTCTCCTCTCTCCTCGCTCCTCTCTCTTACCTCTTCTCTCCTCTCTCTTCTTGCTCTCTTCTCTTCTCTTCTCTTCTCCTCTCTCTTCTCTCTCTCTTCTCTCTCTTCTCTTTGGATCTCTCTCCCCTCTTCTCAACCTGACTTCTTGTGCAGGTGGAGCTGAGGCTACCGGGGGAGACTATCTACGATCTGGGAGATCAGGCGGACTGTCTCTACATCATCATTTCAGGTTCTGTCACCCTGTCTCTCCGGGAAGACCCTGCCCTCAAGCTCCGCTCTGAGATCCTCGACCAAATTCAAAAGGTCCGACATTTCCCGCTGCTGGCATTCGATTTTATTCTTGTAAGCTCTTTCTTCTCTTCTCATTCTTTCCTAGGGCGACGTCTATGGCGAAGTTGCTATCCTCATGGATACCACTAGGTCGATACTCCTCCCTTCACCTTCCCCCCTCTTCCATTCCCCTCACTTCCTCCTCTCTTCTCCGTCCTCTTTCATTGCTCCTTTCCACTTGTCTCGCTGTGGCTGAGGGAGGGGCAGGGAGTCGATGGCAGTGTCAGATGGATTTCTCGAGCAGTACGTCCTCTCCTCCTCCAACCTCGAGATCGTCCTCAACGAGCTTCCCGACGTCAACGAGCGTCTCAAGCAGCGGGCGCAGGTGCGAGCAGAGCAGCTGTTCGGGGGGATCCTGGAGCAGGAGGGGGCGCACTGGAAAAGGAAGGTCGCCCCCAACAACGCGTTCAAGTGGAGGAGGTTGTGCAGAAAGCTGATGATAAGCAAGGGAACTTCATCGAATGTCTTTTTCTCAAGGATATTCAACTTCACAATGGTAAACTCCCTCCTCCTTTACTGCTGCTCCCGTCCTCTTCATACCCTGTACTTTCCTATTCTCTCCTCGCCTTCTCCCTTCTCTCCGCCTGCCCTCTTCCTCCTCCCCTCCTTCCCCGTTTTTTTCTCCTTACCTTGCTTTTCCTCTCAATTCCTCTCTTCTCCTTTCCCCCTCCTCCCCTCCTCCCCTTCTCATCTCTCCTCTGCGCTGCTCGCTTCTCCATGCCGCGGTCCTGCACGACCCTTGCCATGCTGATCCTCTGGTCAGGCGCATTCAGACTCCAACACCAAGGTGAAGGGAAAGCTGACGAAGCGATCCAAAGACAACGACATGTACTTCTCCTTTGACTCCGATGGTCGCAAGTCCCTCAACCTCCACAAGCCTCTTGCTCACTCCTCCCGCCATGGCTCCTTCGACTCCTCCTCCTCAGCCTCGGCTCTCCTTGCCAACGGCACCTTGCTCAAGCGGGAAGAGGAGGTGCTGGAAAGATCCATGGTGCTGGTGATGGAGGTGGAAAAGATGATGCTGGAGGCGGTCGAGCTGTGTGGGAAGGAGAAGGAGGAGGGAGGGAGAAGTTTGAAGGACCAGGAGGAGCTCTTGAAGACTTCCTTGCAGCAACAGCAGCTGCTGGCCTCTCAGCTTCTTCTCCTGCAGAGCTTGATTCGCCCACCTGCCCTCCATCATGCCGGTGTCGCACTCGTCTCCTCCTCCAAGCGCAGACTCTCGCAGCCCATGCTGGCGGCATCGATTGGCTTCACCAAGCATTGTGAAATTGAGGAGGAGACAGAAAGAATGCGGGGAATTGAAGACGAGAAGGATGAGAAGGAGAATGGCGAGGAGAATGGAGCAGCAGGACTATCAGGTAGTGTCAATGTCTAATTTACATGAAAAATCACGGATTCTTTCTTCCTCCTCTTCCTCCTCCTCCACTTGCCTGCTCTCCTTCCTCCTTCCTCCTCTACCCCGACAAGAAAGCTGAGCGCCACACGGTAGAGCAGAAGAATTGCGGCAAGCGCGGGCACGACTCAAGCTGCTGGCAGAGAGGCTGCGAGGAAGAGCCGAAGCCTGCGAGAGGAACAAAGGGAGAACGTCAGACTAGAAGGCAGAAAGACGGGGGAGACAGGAAAGGAAACAAGTAAAGGTGGAGGTTGAGGTAAAGGGGGAGGCAGAGGGAGGGAGAGAGAGAGTTAGAGATAAAGAGGAAGGACAGGGAGGGAGGAATCTGTGAGGAGAAGAGGGAGAAGCACCTGGTAGATCCTTGAGGAGTGTGACTTCTGTGCAGTCCATGCATGAACTATCCTTACATCCTTGAAGAAGACGCTGAAACAAAAGATGAGGAAACGGAGTCACTCACTTTCTGCTTCTGCTTCTGCTTCTGATACTGCGTTGCTCCTTTCTCTTGCTGCTGCTGCTTCTGCTCTCGGTACAGCTCCTGCTCCTCCTGCTCCTCCTCCTGCTCTGGCTACAGCTCCTCCTTTTCCTGCTTCTGCTTCTGCTTCTGCTTCTGCTGCTTCTCTTCCTCCCGTCTTGAATTCTCGAGATCACCATCTTTGAGGCCTCCAACTTCCAGTAGTCGCCTGTCTTGGGCATGAGCATGGGCACGCACTCGCCTACTTCTCCGTCACTGGCGTCACTTTCACCTCCTCCTACCATCCAGGATGGAGTAGCGCAAGTTAGGCTGAAAGCGAGGATAGCACGACAGCAGCGTCCCGTTGGCGCTTGCAGGGTCCACAGTCTGCATGTCCGTGAAGATCGCGCTCTTGCTTCAAATGATCCTCTTCACTCCCATGCTCTCTCGGCAATTCTTTCTCTCCTCCTCCTCCTCCTCCTCCTCCTTCCTGCCTTCTCCTCTCTTACCTCCTTCACCCAGAAATTGAGGACCAGGAACTTTCCCTGCCGATTGTCGTCAAGACAGCGTGAGAGGAACTTGAAGCAAGAAGGGAGAGGGGAGAAAGAAGAGCGACAAGCAAACTTGATGAAAGGAAAGAGCAGGAGTGAAGAGAGAACGAGGAAGGGGTCAGGAGGGAAGGGAGAATGAGGGGGAGGAGAAGGTCACACCCTTCGAGGAGGAGTTGAAAGAAGGGGAGGTGAGATGAAAACGGTTAGAGGATGACAAAACAACCTTGATGCCCTCAGGGGAGCCAGGAGTACCAGGAATGCTGTAAACAAGTAGATCAAGGTAGGCAATCACATGAAATCGAGAACACGGGAAACAAGTAGATGGGGGTCAGCAGAGGCCAACAAGTTGGTAGAGGATCGGCCTGTACCTGTCAGGGCAAGACTGGAGGGAGGAGACGCAAGTTTGAGAAGCTTCGCACGCATCTGCGAGGCAACCTCAGCAGTCCGCCACCTCTTGCTCCACCCTAACAACCGACAAGTCTGGTGCAAGCTTGTTCCTGCGCCTTCCGTTAGCAGGTTCCCAGCTAGTTCGAACAGAGAGACTGCCTGGCAGTACTTGTCGCCCTGTCCGGGGATGGAAATGTCCAGCACAGTGGCTGGAGGGAGGAAGATGACAAGAGGTTGAGAGTAGCAAGAGGTACCTGAGTTGAGCGAGCTTCCAACCTTATCCACCACCACCTGCTTGCTTCTGTCACGTCCATGCCTACGAAGCTGCAGGTAACCTGCTGGGAGATTTGACCGCTGCAGTCTTTCGTTGACGTGGTTGTGTAGACCTGCAGGTCAAGTCAGACAGTCCAGAGAGCGGACTGGAGCAGTTCGCACCTTGAACCAGTTGCAGCTGTCAACATTGATCGCTCTTTCTTCCCTGCGTCCACCTTCACTCCCTGCAGCTTCTCCCTTGAGCTGACCGCGAGCTCATGGCGCTCAATTTTTCGCACGCCCCGGTCCCCGTGATCGCTTCGCTGTTCAATGCACGCGACCCTCCGCAGCTCGCGCACCCATTGCCGCAGGCAGTCGTGAGCTGGGAAGGAGGTGAGAGGTCAGGCGGGGGGCGCAAGTCGTCACCTCGTTCCTCGAGCAGTCGTAGCGCATGTAGGTAGGGCTGGCCACGTCATCCTCAAAGACGCAACTTCCGGCTAGAACAGCATCGAAGCTCGTGATCTGCTGAGATTGACCCACTGCTCACGTGAGAGAGGCAAGAGACCTGAGCTTTGTTGCTGCAGTTGTACGAGTTATCCCACGTTCTCCGCAGAAAGTACGTGGACCTGCTCCAAAGGTGACAGGAGCACAACCATGAGTGAAGCTTGAGAGAATCGACAAGAATGCCAGGGTAAATCCTCGCACGAATAAAGTGATACATGACAGAGAGCAAGCGATAGACGAGAACCCAAGGCGAAGCGAGGCAAGAAAGGAAAGGCGAGGTAAGAAAAGGCGAGGCAAGGCGAGGTAAGGTAAGGCAAATGCAAAGGCAAGATAGAGTTTTTCAATACCTTGGTAGCTGAATGAAGTTGCTGCATTCGATCCTACGATAAAACCCTGACGGAGATAATTTGCAGTCCTCCTGGTTTGCAGTTCAGACGGCAAGAGAGGGCAGGCAAGGATCGCCTGATTGCAAGATCGGGTGAGGACCTCAGTCTTGGTCTCGGACAAGTTTCTCGCAAGAACTTGCGCCATCACTCGCTTAGGGTTGCCTGCCCCAGGTAATTGCATAAGCTTTCCTTGGTGTTCAATGTGACAGGACAAACCGGAGCAGGACGGGTTGCTGTAGTAGTACTTGACCGCGTACCTCGTGACGCAGCGATCGAACTTGCACCCGCGAGCTTCTGCAAGAGCTCGAGTGGACGGCTGAGACGAGGAGGTCAGACAAGCCTGACTGCCGTTCTTCTCTCACTTGCTGCGAAGGATAATTGGGCGAGCTGCCGACGATTTGCTTGACTTGCTTGGATACAGGATCGAACCACCCGCGGTTGATCTGCGTGATGATGGGGCCGACTACGAGATCGTCGCAGAGAGGTGTCGCACAGATGTCGCAAGACAAGTCGATCTGAGGGCAAGAGGGCGGGTGAGGGTATGGCGGGCGACGCTAAGGGTGGAACGGTCATCTCACCAGGCTCTGCGCTGTTGCTGTACAGGTAGACAGCTCTCTGTCAAAGTTCAACTGCTTGTGAACCTCGACGAGGGAGCGGTAGCAAACCTGCGACACCCTCAGGCCCGGAAGATGAATGCGCGTCATACCTTCTCGTTGGGATAGCAGGGCTCAGGCCGAACCTTTGCGAGGAGAAGAAGCCAAGAGCAGTGAGAGGACGAGAGAATGGAGAGCAAAGAAACAGAGTCTTTCTTCGCCCCCTATCTAGATCTGCCCTCATTCCAACTCTCTCATGCAAATTCTCCTCAATTTCTCCCTCTCCCTCACCCTGCCTCTCTGAGGTATTTGCAAGCACTTACCTTGTATAAGAGAGCCACTTGTTCGTTCGTTAAGGTGTCTCCAGCTGCTGCTCCAGCTGACGCTGCAGCTGACGCTGCAGCGATCACGATGACAAGAGGGAGCATGTTTGTATCAAGCGACAAGCAATAAAAAAACATCAAACCATTTGACAAGATTTGAAAAGAAGCAGGGCGCGCAAGGACACATGGGACGGCATGTTGTAGATATAGCCTGATGGGAGGGGAAGGGAGGGGAGGGAGGGGAGGGAGGGAGAGAGATCCTTTTCTATGTTCGAGAGAGGAGGTCGGTCGGAATAATGTGAGAGGAGCCTCAAACAATGAGGCAGCAGACATGCTACGGAAATAGTTTGGTTTAAATGAAACGACACCTTGCCTTCGCGCCAGACAGGATCTCGAGATCGACAATCACAATCGCACGTGAACATTCAAGAGCACACAGTTATGGAAAAGATTGCAGATCTCATTTCTTATCTCATTTCTTTTCTAAAACAACCAATAAAGATTGATCATATCAGTGTAAGAATACAGTTGCGCCAAACTGCATCGCACGTGTAGCAACAACAGTCACATGGCACAAAGAATTGCTTTACAGATAGTTCTTGGTATCGAGCTTGTCACAATCATGCCGGCATCAATTACAATGCTGACACCCGTTCGTGAAGTTTGAATCTGTTGACGATATGCGGCCGTACATCATCGGCTGAACAGCCAACGTCATCGGCCACAAGACATGCCTCAACAATCTACCTGCTGCCAGCGATTCGATGAAGGGTAGAAGCTTCAATAAACACCTGGGATGTTGTCAAACCCCTCACTGCTGGTACACCTCTTGCCTGTCCGAAGTGTCGCCAAACCAACTCTTGATCGGAATCCCATTCGATAACTACATGCCCAAATCAACAAAAATGACATTAGCCACAAGTATCACAAACTACCTGGTATCCAAACGCTTGTGGTGAATTGTCAACGATCGCTATTTTTGACAAGTCTCTATTTAGAACCGTTAAATCCTTGACCTGATCCAAAAATTAATGAGTCACTGGACACAAGAATTCGTGAGGGTTCAAATGGAAGGTGATTGCTGGGGGTTATACATAATTCTCGTTCACAAAAAGACAAGAGTTTCGAAAAACACGATGCCTGCCAAAAAAATCAGGGAACAAAAATGGTTGCAGAAGATTGTCTACTCACTTGATTAGTCGGGAATCGGGGTCAATCAGGTTAAGCAATTTATCTGCATAAATACTTTGCGAGGCAGTGAAAACAATGATCTCAAATTTTTCCGCCAGTCTTTCCAGAAATCTTTCAAGAAAATCAGTTCACATCGCCAAGAAAATAGTCGAAACAAACTCACTCTAGGCAATGCGGTCGAATTTTAACCCAAACATGGTAGTCTTGTTCTTTGAAAGTAACATCAAACTATGAATCGCATAAGACACTGACATCATCACTTTCACTGGGAATCAATCAAAACCTGTAAGTGAGACTGTTCCATGAATTCCAGTGAGGCGTGCACAAGGGTCTCATCAAGATCAAGAACCTGAAGGACAAAAAGATTACGGTGCACAAATGTAGCACAAAATCATTACCAACGAGACGGAAGGAGCATTTCCAAGTTTCATCGGAATGACTGATGATTCAAAGGTCAGAAACGCTCGAATTTCATTGAAAAAAGAATTCAATACCGGGCAGTCCATTTGGTTCTGCTTGGACTCGCTCGAGAGGAGGAAGGTTCTTGATGAAATCAAATGGATCGAATTCGTCAAAGTCTTCATCCAAATCTGATTGATTTACAGTAAGAAAACATGTCAGAGTTCGATGGTCTGAAACCTGAATCTGAGTACTCCGAAGCAAGAGTCGACAGAGAATCATCCTTTTCATCTTTCTTACTACGGTCATCATCAACAACTATGGCTGAATCCTCATCGGCTGATTCAAGAACAGTGGAGATCGTCGTGATGCTCGAGCCAGTACTCTTCTCGTCAAGGTCATATGCCTCGCTTGTGAAGGCATCCTTGTCCAATTCGCAAATTTCATCAACACTTTCAAGCTTCTCGAAAATTTCTTGTTTCGAGTTTGCGTCGCAAACTAATTTCTCTGCATACTGTGGTAAGTAATTCAGTTTCACTGGATTGCATTCATTTACTGTCAGAGTTCTTGAAAAAGCTCAAAACCGGCGAAAAGACAGGCGAAAAAATGCTTCGAGCCCTTTGGGAAAGAGTTCGCGGAGATAAGCTGTTGTTATCATACGTGCGACCAGTTTTATCTTCGCCTAGATGATCCGAGCATGAATTGAAGTCCAATGTCTTTGCAGACTGATTGCTTTCAGAATCTAGGATACACTCAAAAGTCAGGATCCCACGAAAATTTTCAGGTTGAAAGAAATAAATTGCTCGTTTATCGTGGCAGTCGCAGGATTTTTACAACGCTCAAGGAAGTTCATCGACACAACCATTCGAATCAATCTTGCATAATGCCTCAGGAAAACACATAATTTCGTGCCATGAATGTGTGTAGTGGTGAGAAAATTCGCTGCAGCCCCAAAACATTTTGGGAGCGAATTTAGCATCAGGATCATTGACAATCGAGATGCAGTGAATGATTTGATCAACATCAGGCACTATATCAGCACCCCAAATAGTAGAATATAACATAGAGCACATGGTCGAATAGATCTACACCCCTCATCACGATAAGGAGTGCAGGGGCTGTCAGATTTCATTCTTCTACTCTACAATTGTAGCGAGGTGGCATGCCAACCTTTGCGAGGAGTAGAATAATCGTCTTGGAGAGGTTTCCTCCTCTTGGTCAAAGATCGGTCGGGAGAGGAGGCGATTAGAGCAGCTGAGCTCGCGCGCTTCGAAGGTGCCGCGTTCATGTATGCATAGCGCTGAAGCAGGGGAAGTCACTAAAAGGGGGTAGGGTGAGATCGAATCATATAGAATGGGTAGGGTAACTTTGTACCACTCTTGTCTCAAGATGAGGGGTGGGGAAAGTAATCAAGGGGGTACTAAAGTTCCGAAGGGGTGGAGTCTACGGGTACAATATGAAAAGAAAAGCAGCCCTGATGGGTGGAGCGAACCGGTGGCACCGAGCGGATGGGAGGGGGTCATCTCTTCCAGTGGTTTTAGAAGGGTAGGGTGATCGATGGTAGTACGGTGAGTCCTGTACTCTTGTTGTAAGTGGTGTATGTTTCTGTTCTATGACCTAGTCATAGGACCCAGTAGTTCTTTACCCCCACTTCCTAGAGACATAATGGTACAACCCACCTAGCAAAACCATCCGAGTTCTCCATCTACCCCCAGTTATCGGCATGAGGACCCCCGACCTCCCCTTTGAAAGAAGTCTAAATTGATCAGAATATCTTGCGAAACACCCTACCCTACCCTACTCTACCCTACCCCATCGGAAGGCCTGACAACGGAAGTACCATCAATCAACACAGAAAAGCACCCGACCTCGGATACCCTCTCCGAAGGCAAGGGGGTGGGTATCATTTTGTTGAGGGAAAGGTGCTCCAGAAAAGAAGGGAGAACGTGGGGTCCTCCCCCGACTTGGGTACCAGGGGTATACCTAGAAGGAGGGGTGGTAGGTAGCTCGCATTTACCGTTTGAATAAACACTATTAAAATCTGTACCTGAAGTAATCAAAATGGTACAGCCTTCTTTACTCAAAGGTACAAATGACATTGTAAAATAGTTTTATTGAGTCGAATGTAATATCAGTTCTGACTTTATTCTGACCCAGCCAAACCTTTGTGATTGGGTTCTCAATATTTCAAATTTAACAGTAGATAAATGCTGTATTTCTCCTCGTGCTGAGAATATACTTCAGGGTCGGGTCAACTAATAATAACTGAGTGGTAGCGCCGCTCCCGGGCGAACGAGGCCGGAGGCGATGATCATCGCCCACATATCCTTGCCTTCAAGATGTTGTCAACCGCTGCAGCGCGCAAATGAGAGTCCGAGCAACTTGAAGCCAGACTGAGACAAGCGGCAAGGAGAGACAAGAGGAGAGACAAGAGGAGAGACAAGATGAGAGACAAGAGGAGAGACAAGAGGAGAGACAAGAGGAGAGACAAGATGAGAGACAAGAGGAGAGACAAGAGGAGAGACAAGAGGAGAGACAAGATGAGAGACAAGATGAGAGACAAGAGGAGAGACAAGAGGAGAGACAAGATGAGAGACAAGATGAGAGACAAGATGAGAGACAAGAGGAGAGACAAGATGAGAGAC